GTGCCTTTTAGCATCCATCATCAACGCGAGATATATTCACTCTTTTATTTCTGCTTCTCCTTTTTCCCTCTTTCTTTCTTATTTACATTTGTTACGGTAGGAACGTAAATTTGCCGAATATATGCGTTCGCTGTATGCATCGGGAGTTAAACGCTTTGCTCGTACACAGGCGATAAGTCACAATTAGTATATAAAATATCGCACGATCGAAATACCGAGATACAGATCACTTGATGTTTCCCTCTTTTATACACACGATACCGGATCAAAATCGGGCAATTCGCTGGATCATGTTGTCGCTGTACGCGGCGCGTTAGCGGGCAGCAATAAAAAACACAGATAAAATTTTCGAGCACGACCGTGGGATATACAGCGTGGAGAAATATCATCGGATGTTGCGCGCCGTTGTGCTGACATAGGAATTGTACTGTATGACGCTGTGCTAATTGCAGTAGGCTGTTGTACGAGAGACAGCTTTTTATGCGGCGACTGGTAATGACATCCGCCCCGCGCAGCTGACCCTCTATTATTTCTCGCCGGTGCTTTCCTATCGAACAAAATCCTCTTGGCAGGAGAACGCGCGCGTATTTATCTTGCCCTGAATTTCGAAATTTCGCATATCAAAGCGCGCATTCAGCCCCTTTCATCATAAATGCCGTGACCGCCGTCGATCTCTCCCCCTACTCTTTTCCTCCCTGGCAATAATTCCTTCAAACTCTTGACTGAATAATGAATCTCGAGATGAAAACCGCTTTTGGACGTGCACCGAATTATAGCGTTCTTTGTCTTGTGCGAGTGTCCCGCGGAGTTTACTTTCGCGCAAACTCGCCACAGTTAGAGCGTCCTTCGGTCGCGAGCAGAAAAGTAGAATAATATCCAACGCTGTTTGGAGGATTAATTCGGAGGTTTTTATGGCTAATTAAAACGAGTGTAATTAAAAAAACAATCGTTCAATTTATTCGTTGAGGGTAAAACAATCGCTTTAAAGAGGAAGTGAAGTTCTGTTCTTCAGCAAGTTCTTTCATCCATCCTTAATCTTCAAATGGCTTTGTCCGGTCGTAGATGACTATAGAAATTTAGGCGTCAGGCAACAGAAATTTGATTTTTGAAATATAAGTTACAAATAGACTGCGGAAACTTTAAGATGTGAGATTGCAGAATGTATATAATCGACGAAAATATATAAAACATCCAAGTATATACTGCTCTCGATAATACTTGGCTCTTAAAAATAATCTTTCACCGTCGATCTATCAAAAATACCAGTATTTGCAAGTACAATTAAACTAAAAATTTCGAAATCAAGATACGGTTTTTCGATGATACCAATCGGGAGTTAGGTATACCATCGTCTTCGTTCGATTTCAATCAATATAAGCAGCCAAGGAAATAAAATAGACGAGGGGAGAGACAGTTGCTAGGGATTTACGTGGAAAATAAGAAGAAAGGCACTTCTTCGGAATAAGAGTCAGCTTAGCCGTGAAATTTTATTGTACTACGAGAAAGCTTCCAGTGCTGATGGGGTGGTTTCGCCGTGCCATACGTTACTGGCACGCATGAATGCGCGTAGGATAGGCGTGTGGGTGGTGCGTAATATAGGACAGCGGTAGGTCTATGTAACCCCACCGGGGTACATAGATTGTAGAGAATGAATGACGAAGGGTAGATGAGTGAAATAATGGTTTTTTGGGGCTGTGTTGGACGCTGAAATATGTAACTCGATGGTGACCACGCATTAGCGGGAATGAGATGTTGCATTAAAGGCTTTAATACGGCAATTGTTATTTAAATTTTCGTTTGGAAGCTGCTTTTTTTTTTTTTAATATCGATCAGTGTGACTTATACGAGAATTTTCACGGAATTTCAAAATCTTTTCGTCGGTTTTTTTTTTTTGCAAGTGTTTCGTGTGCAAACAGAATTTTATTTTATTTCTTTTCTCATTCGCGATTTGTATCTGATCGTCTCGGAGGGAAGATGATTCGAACGTACAGATATACGAACAGAAATTTTCTCGTCTAGATCAAGATGAAGCGATTCCTTCATTGTCAACCGAGCGAGATACTTTGGCCCGGAGAAGGCTTTGCATTCCTCTTATATCCGCTTTCATTCCGTCCCTCGGATATGTTCGACTTCTCTTTCGAACAAGAAACTTCACTCTCGAAACGAGCGCACGTTTGTCTGAATCGTTCTAAGATTACTTGCTAGAATCTCATCACGAAAAATGTGCATGCAATCTTCCAATTCTGTGGTGGCTTGTTACTTTATACTTTTATACTTTACCAATTTCTTCGTACACAAGAATATAATTTAATTTATAACTTAGTAAGTAATTTATAACTTAGTAGAGTAACTTATAAATTACGCGTATTAACACAGCAATGAGGAATTTATTTGGAATTCAATCTTCCATAAAAAATAATCGAACAAAAAGACCAACAAGTGTAACAGTGCATAAATTACGTAGAGCCACATTATAAAACTGGCCGAGAGCGATGTCCTGTCTTCCTTCGATTCTTTCATTATTTCGAGTAAGACTCCCTTGAGATACGTTGTTACAAGTGACGATTACACTCGACTCTGGTTATCGTCTATCTCACACCTTGACCGCTTTGTTAGTGCGTGTAATTGCTTCGACGTGACAGATTCTTTCGATCGTTCGACCCGTGAGACCTTCCAGAGGCGATCGAACGGTCGTGCACCGCGTCATCACAGTTTTATTTTGATCGAATCAATCAGGTACATACTTGGTTGTCTCCGAGGCAACCACCAGCTTCTTGTGCTCGAGGTTCCTCGTTAACGAGATCAAACGTTTCACGTAGAAGCCGACTCCTCGAGTATCAGCACCTGTTAATTCCTCAATTGAAAAAGGGTTCTCTTTCAAATCGACTGACGAGAGGTCGTCAATTCAGGTTCTCGAGAGTACCGGAGGAACCGAAAGGGATGTACCTGGGATTTCTTCACGAGATTCTCGAACAAATCGCGTAGGATAGCTACAGTCATCTGGATTCTCTTGCTCATGAATTTGTCATCTTTTACTTCTTGATACACCGTGTCCTCTGACAGAACGTGAGACGCATACGGATTCGGATAACGTTGGGAGAACGCTTCGCAAACGGCCAGCCAACAGTCTGGGAGGATCGTTACTTTCGCGCTTCCCTTCATTGACTGAAACTTTACAGTTTCTCGTGTGAAATATTCATAATACGAGTATTATGGATCTCGCTACAAGTAATATGGTTTAAATAAAGATTTACTGGATACCAGAACGAATACGTAACTTTCGACATTTCATACATTACTTTGTACATTACGCGCAATTTCTATACTTGAGCACATTTAAATTTCCTTCACTAAGAATCCATAATTAGGCTGTGGATTTTTAGGCAATTTCGTATTTTTCTACAATTATAGATGTGGAGATTAAGCAGAAATTTGTCACTCAATTTTCAGAACTTTTTTGCATATTTTTGAATATATTCTTTGCATTCTTGCATCCTTAAATTTCTCATAAATATAAAATCTAATCGCAATACAAATACTTATGACAATTTCTTTAAATTTTATAAAATTGCAAAATTTTATAAATTTGCGTAGGAAAAATTCTAACAAAAAAAAAAAGAAAATAAATATTAATCGAATTCTTGAATTTCTCTTTTCCAGCAATTGTATTAAAAAAACAAAAGTTAATGATGTAAATTGATTGAAGAAAATTACAAATGAAACGGGTTAAAATAACCACCGTCAAGCAAACATGATCGTTTCGACGACCAGTTGTTTTTTTATCCCGATTCCTCGGTTAGATTTTCTGCTTTACTCATTTTTTTTTTTTTTAACCTCGCGACGAAGCGAGAAACGTTCGCACAGATCTATAGAGTTACTGACGCTTACTCGTTCATTCATACGCCACACCGAACTCCCACCATCCGGCAATTCTTTCACCCTCTCTTATTCTTGCAATTCATTAGTGAATCGTCAGGTGCTTCATAAACAATGAACACAGACCCCTCATTAACGTAATTTCAATGATAATAACGCTTCCACGATTTTAAATGCGTTTATCGTTCTGTTCGCTTCGAACAATGATCGCAGCTCCGTGCGCGGAATTACGCGCGAACGCGGTAATATTTTCGTTGCTCCTCGTGAAAATGCATTGTAACGACAACATTAACATTCTGAGGTTAAGGATAACAATTTTCTAAAATTCTTCCACGCGATCCACGTGGATCGGATAAATACTGATCCACGATTTTTGTCATTCGTTCAACCAAAACCGTCTTTGACGAGTATCCCTCAGTCTTACCTTATGATTTTAATTCCAATTCAGCATCGTTCATTCTCCGTGAAGCCTGTCCTGTTGCTAGGAAATTTTGACGCCGACGCTGCTCGTTTGTTCCAAACTCGAACGTCCTCGCTTCTTCTTCGTCGTCCTTTCCACAGTGACGATGTCTGAGACACTTCGAATCGCTTCGAGCATGATTCGAAGCGTGAAAGTCTCTCGAAAGTCTCGATAGGTCTTAATTCTCTTGGATGTCTTCGAAGTTTTGAGTGCTGCGATACAGTGGAAGTCTACGGTAGTAGACGAACAGAGTCAAACAGTGTCATTGACGTTTAAAGAAAGTTCAGAAACAATTTGTTCGACGTTCAAGAGGGTTTTTCAGCTTCGAATTTTCCACCGTGTATACAGAGTTCAATCGATTCGAAATGTCTCGGGTCTCATCATCGTTCCCTGTCACAAGTTACGTGACCAATTTCGACCGAGAAGCCAAAGTCGATGTCGAACTCCAGGAACGTGCGAATCATCGGTCCGAAATCGCGGGATTGTTCCCGCGTTATGTCGAAACATCTTCTCGGTCGGACTTGGCGCAACGAGATGGGAGTGGCGATTGCATCGTGCAGATCCGCAAAGAGAGAGAGAAGAGAGAGAGAGAGAGAGAGAGAGAGAACCGTAACAATTAGCGACGCCAGCGAAGAAGAAGAAGGGAGCTGCTGCTGTGGTTCTCCAGTTTCGTCCTCGTCGACGCTGTCTAAGCCGTGTTCATTACTGCACCGACAATCAGGCTGCTCGGCGATCAAGAGGGCGGGAAAGGGTGACCGGGAGGAGCGACAGGGGCCACACGAGCGGAGTTAGGGGTGGGTTTAAGCGAGTGTAGCCACGGCGGTCAGGCTTGTAATCTGACGGTGGTGGGTCGTTTCGGTTGGTCGGGGTAAAACGGTCCATTAAGACCGGGTAGCAGTTAGTGGTCATGCTATAGGAAGCAGCCAGCTTACTAATGCCGGCCGTGGTTCATCCCCGTAAGGGCCGTTAACCGGGGTCAGCCCTCCGGTTGATTTCACCTTCGCGAAACTTCGGATTTCGTTTAGGCCGCCGTGCCACGTTTTCCCTCGTTTTCCCGCAAACAGAGCGATGCATCACGCTGCCCTTTCCGTTCCATCCTTGATCAATTGTAACTCATCCTTCGCGTGTCCAAGGGATATATTTGTCTTCTATAGACTGGAACGATCGGAGGGTTCGCGGTATTGTATTTAACCAGAGCGGAGTGGATGGCTGGTAGGGTTGCCAAGGTCAGGTCTGTTTGTTCTTATTTCGGAGAAGCCGCTGTTCGATTCTTTCGTTCGTCGGTGGGAATTATTTTTTGTTTAATCGAATAGAATACGATCAATGGGAATTCGTAGATCGTCACATTTGTAAACGATGATGCTGAAAGAAAATGATGTTGAATTGAATTAATGATAAATTGTGGATCACGTTTACGCAATAAACACGTCGCACAATTTTATTAAAAATTAACTATAATATGAAAATTGATCTGACAACTTGGCCGATGTAACTACCTTAAAGCAGATCCAAGAGTAACAACAATTTCAAGAATTACAAGAATTACTGCCTAATGCATAACTGCATTGTTAAATTGTATCAACGTAGTATCGGACATCAGCAAGACAACGCATGATCTTAACAGCTATTAACACTTTTACGTGCCGTTTCTACGCGTGTCTGGAAAAGTTCAGCCGCGGTGTAACTTGAACGTGAGCTGGACATCAACTCGACGAGTACGCCTGAGCAAATTACCATACACGTATGTATTACGGATGTATGTACGTACCGCGTCTAGAGTTCTGCGTACGGAGTAACGGGTAAGCAGAAGTTACCGATGCGGAGGGAAGAACCCCCTTAAACGCGCGCCGACCTCCAGCTCGAGGCTGGTTTTGCCTTCACGAACCAAAGTTTGATTACTGTTTTCGTTGCGAGACCGCAGTAGAAGTGCAATACGACGTACCGTCCAAAGCCGATACATTCTCGCGTCGTTACTTCGCCGACATCAGAATTCGCGTGCCCTCTTGCTTGAACTTGTTCGTCGAGCTCGAGGTTTGTAACGTGAAATAATTCGCGGTATGCACAGGCCTCTCGTTTTATTGGCCCTTCGTAGGTATTCCTTTGCACGGTCACCAGAGGAACTTTCTACGAAATCGATCGACTCGTGGTTACATACTTTTACGACTTTCTGATCGGCTGTTCGTTCGTTCGTTTCTTTCAAAAAGCGGACTTGCAACGAGAGAAAAGAAAGGGAGGAAGGAATTGAGAGTTGTTGGTTGGATTTGTTGATTATGTAAGACTTTCTAGTTGGTTCGTCTTTTAAGTAGGAAGTTCAATTAATTCTAGAACTGGCAGAGCCATCGAAATGATCGATTCGTAAATTCTCATGAAAATTTTATAAATTTAGAACGATGCATTTCTGACAGAAATTTGATGACTTTTCGTAAAGTATATGGATAAAGAACTTGTACAAGTTTTATGCTTTACTCATTTAGCAGTTCTAGTGTTAAGAATCAAGTTCTTTTATTTTTTAATATTGGAGCTATGAAAAGAAAATTCCAAGAATTCGTTTAATATCCTTTCGTCATTATATCTTCCCCTTAGGTTCCGTAATTAAGATATTTATAGTGTTATAAGATAAATTACCGCTTAGTCCTCAAAGAGTTAAGTGAGAGAATGTAATAGCACGAACCGAATGAGATTAAAAAAGGACTTTTTAACGATAAGCTTTAAGAGGATAAAGTTTTAGCAACAGTGATTTTATTATATGCCAAGACCTGAAAATACAGACATTTTGGAACCGACTCCATGACGAAGGTCCACCCTGATAATCGACATCGTTACACCGATGATGACTTTTTCATAATGGCGTTAAAACTATGTACAGGGTGATTCACCTAACTTGCGCACTTGAAATAATTTTTTAAATGATGCGTCTAATGAAAAATTGTTTAATACGAAAGTTGTATGGTTTTAAGAGAGGCAAAACATGGCGTGCGTTGAAGGGTGTTTTCCGAAATTTCCAAGTTTATCTTCATTTTTTTTTGTAATTGGACCATTTATTTTTTTCATCATAGCTCGAAAGAATATTAAATTACAAAGAAGAAAATATTAAACCACATTGGTCCTAAAGCTAATGGTTAAGGAGATGTTTTACGATAATTTATCTCAAGAATGAAAACTGCGTACAACGGTTCGACAATTAGAATTTACGAAAATGTATTGTGCACAAATGTATTTAGGTGTATTAGGTGTGCAACTTACGTGAATCACCCTGTATAACGTGTCCTGCTCGCAGGCGTGTTCCTCGATTTTCTTCGACCTATCGAAGCAGAAGTAAAAGACACCGATGGTGCTATCTGGATCGTTAAATCGTCGTAAAAATTTAATAACGTTGCAGCGTTAACCTTGCACTTAGGACCGGATTGCTCTTTGACACTCGTTAGGCTGATGTTGGCAATAGCCTTCGTATCTGCTGGTGGACCGTAATGTTGATATAACGTGACGATAGCTAGCTTTATCGTTTCGCGTCCGAGCAACGCGAATTCGCGAATTAATCATGTTACTCGATTAAAACCTCTCGCCCACGTTTCGTCCCCCGATCTTATCGAGTAGAATGCGTTCACTGGACTCTGCGAGAATCGCGTTCGTTTAATCTTTCCTCGAAATTTATTTCCTCCCGATCTCTTCTCTGGCCGCATAGTTTCCTTTCCAGGCTATAGTATCCAAGCCTTGCGTAATTAATTCGCGGCGCTGGTGTCCGTCTGGGGAACTTTCCGCATAAGTTGCTCGCCGCGCAGGTGGAAAAGGATATTTCCCGAGGAGCATCCGGGTTAGAGGAAAACTT